TCTTTACGAGCACTACTCCTGCCGTCCTTCCAGGTGTTCAAGCTCGCGATTTCATTGTGATGAATTCTGTACACGTTGACCGGGCCGGCATACGCAAGTTGATCCAAAACTTAAAAATTTCGTCGTCACCTGGCGTCGATGGCATTTCTTCTAAATTTTTGAAAAACACTGACATTCATTCCTCAATTATTCTGTCGAGACTTTTTGATCAGTCATTAGAAGAAGGTGTTCTCCCAGAGGACTGGAAGGTGGGGAAGGTGGTTCCCTTGTTTAAATCAGGAAACGCTCATAGTCCCGGGAACTATCGCCCCATTTCACTAACCAGTGTACCATGCAAACTTCTCGAACATGTAATTTACACCCACGTCGTGAGTTATCTTGAAAGTAACGCCTTCTTTAGCATTCACCAACACGGGTTTAGGAAATATTATTCATGTGAGACACAGCTTCTGGCCTTCACTAACGATTTATTCTCTGCTGCTGATCGTTCATCTACTGTTGATTGTGTCTTCATAGATTTTTCAAAAGCCTTTGATACCGTCTGCCACAAGTTACTTCTTCTGAAACTAAACGCGCTAAATATTGATGCTAACGTCTTAAAGTGGATTGAATGTTTCTTATCTAACCGCACCCAGTTTGTAACTGCTAACGACCATTGTTCCCCGACTAGCCCCGTAACGTCCGGCGTTCCGCAAGGTTCAGTTCTTGGTCCCCTACTATTTCTTATCTACATCAACGACTTACCTAAAGACATCTCATCATCCATCAAACTATTTGCCGATGACTGTGTAATTTACCGTGAAATCCGGACTATCGCAGATAATCTTGCCCTTCAAACAGACCTGGATCACATTTCATCATGGTGCGACGCATGGTTAATGAAGCTAAACGTTACTAAATGCAAGGCTATGCGAATTTCCCGTTGTATTTCTCATAATGTACCGTGCGACTACACACTTAACCACAGCAATCTCGATCTGGTTTCGTCCTACAAGTACCTAGGAGTATATATTTCTAACAATCTTTCTTGGAACACGCATGTCGATTATATTACAAACAATGCGAATCGCACGTTAGGTTATCTGCGCAGAAACTTTTCTTTGGCTCCGACTAACCTTAAACTTCTGCTTTATCAAACATTAGTCCGACCCAAACTCGAGTACGCGTCATCAGTCTGGGATCCACATACCAATTACCTCGCTGACAGCATCGAGGCGGTTCAAAATCGCTCGGCACGTTTTGTCATGTCCAACTACCATCGCACGTCCAGTGTTACCTCGATGAAAGCCAATCTTCACTTACCCACTCTCTCACTGCGGCGTAAAATATCTCGCCTCTGCCTGTTCCATAAGATCTTTCATTGTATTCCGTCTTTTAGCAACACTCTTTTCCAGCCCCCATCGTACGTTTCCTCACGCAACGATCATCAATTTAAAGTGGGCGTTCCTAGCGCCCGCACGAATTTATATTTTCAATCATTCATCCCGAAAACTGCAAATGAGTGGAACCACCTTCCCGCCCCTATCGCTGCTATCACTGACCTCACTCTGTTCAAAAATGCCCTCTCTAACCATTTCGCGTAAATTCGCCACTTTAAGTCACGCTGTGTTTTCTGTTGTTAGTTTTTTGTGTGCGCGTGTCATTCAAAGACGCAACCATGTTGAACATTGTTGTTACAACCACCCTGCCTCTTCTTCACATCACGCAGTCTTTCTTTTCTTTTGTGGTTTTCAGATCGCCATTGTGCGCATATAATTTTGATTTGCTGTATTTCCTGATTTTCTGTACGATGTATACCCGCTCCTCTCTGTAATGCTTCGGCCTTGAGAGTAAATAAATGAAATGAAATGAAATGAAATGAAAAACCAAATATTGTAGAGTCACCGACCAAACCGTCACTGATTACATGCTGTGAAATTTAAAAGACATTAAACCAGATCGATTTATTTCTGTCTGTTATGATAGAAAGGCGTCGATGCAATATTTGTCTCAGTTTGGTTCTATCCCTTTTGTTGGTTGGGTGAACGTCTAGAGTTGGTACGAAGAAGCCCTCTCAAAATAAATAAATCCCTGCCCAAGCACTCTATAAATGGTTAACAGAGGCGAAGAACGTTTAGTCCTGGTGTTTATTACTAGGCCTGTACCAACAATTTTTTAAAATGATTTCTCACTTATTGTCCACATCTATGACTAAAACTTGATAGGCGTTTGTAGCCAGTGCGCTCTCTTCACATTTAGCGGATCATTAACGAATAGTGGGATTTAAGAAACTGATGTGCCACATCCACGCTATAGGAGTTTTCCCAAACTATTCGCCCAATTCTGCCATCCACATGTCAGATCATGACCACGGCCGCTGGATGGAAAATACGCCACGGTCTTACGGTGTTCGGCAAGGGGGTCTATCACCCTAAGCTTGCCATGTATACGTCACAAGGGAAAGTCTTTGTGGCAATGAAAACAAGAGAAAAAAAGAAAGCTTTCGATTTTTCCGATTCCTAAGACAGTGCTACACCATGCTGGATGCGGAAAGCTTTCAAATTATATCAAAACTATGTTTTAAGTAAAAAAAAAATGCCTTTCTCTTTTCAGTCATTTTAGGCGAATGCATACAAAACCATGTCACTTTTCTATCATCACTATAATAAAGCGACGTTTTGCTACTTACCACTGAAGTATTTAAATCAAGCAAATTGTTGATGCATTGCGCTCGAGCAGCGGTGGGCGGAAATTTGTCTTGTTTGTTGAACTACGTCCCCGGCCAGGCACTGTTCGCCCGAACAGCCGCCATTCAATTTCCTCGCTTGCATCGATGGCAAACAAAGGCTGCTGCATCAGCCACATGTGTGACGCCATTCTCTCGGAAAAGAAATAGAAAGACAGTGGGAGACAGCTTGGTTGTCGCCGTTGCAAATGATGTTGCAGCAGCGAGGACGTTTCCTCACGTTTCATCTCGCTGAGGGAATGAGAAGAGAGAAAGAAGCGCACGATACACTGCGCCTGACGCGTATACGCTGTTAATCACCTCCAGCGAAACTGCGGAGACGTCAATTAATCAGGAATCCTTTTTAGCCACTGCAAAGCCAGCATGACACATCGACACGCAATTTCGAAATATTAGGCTGCGACAGATACTTTTCGCTTGGCGCTAAGCAGTATTATTTTTTGTCTGCTGTCCTTATACATTATACTTGTTAAAAGCTACATTGTACGCATTAAGAAAACTTCCTGGTTCTTCACGCAAAAAAGAGCGCCAGTAACAAGAGAGAAAATCACCCTCAATAGCCTTGCCGAGCTCAGATGAAAAACATATATCCGCAAGCTAAATAATGAGGGAAAAAAATGAGAAAAGTGCAGGGAGGTCAAGCAGAATTAAAATTTCTAGCTTGCTATGAGAACGAACAAAAAGGAAAGTAAGATAAACACCTAATATGCATAAAACGCATCGTTGCTTACTCCCTAAACGAGAGTGATTGCATGCAAGTCACCGGTGCATTCTTTCCGCTCTTTCTGAGAGGCTCTTGAGGTTGCCAAGCCAATGGCTGACTCGCTGCCTGACTAACAGCATGGCTAATCACTGCCTAGATGTATCAAGGCATTCTTTGTCTTAAGTATTTGTCATTGCCTTGTTGCGATAGCGGTTACACGTGCGGCAACTGGTCCCGCAATCACGCCGCACACTCGCCACTCAAGGGCCTTCTGGATATATTAATTGCGTATGTACATCTCCCAAGCGGAATGTACAAATGTTTCACAGACGATTGGATGCAGAAGTTACGAAACCTATTGAATACACTGACACGCTTGGCCCAACCATCTCTGCAGAAGAGCCAGAGTAGCAGGGCTTGGGCTTACAGTGTTGTCAACTTGACATGATGTGCTCGCGCATATAAACTGTTTTTGGCGTTTTACGTATACTAAGATGTATGTATGTATGTATGTATGTATGTATGTATGTATGTATGTATGTATGTATGTATGTATGTATATGTATGTATGTATGTATGTATGTATGTATGTATGTATGTATGTATGTATGTATGTATGTATGTATGTATGTATGTATGTATGTATGTATGTGTATGTATGTATATGTATGTATGTATGTGTATGAATGCATGTATGTATGTATGTGTATGAATGCATGTATGCATGTATGTATGTGTATGAATGCATGTATGTATGTATGTGTATGAATGCATGTATGTATGTATGTGTATGTATGTATGTATGTATGTATGTATGTATGTATGTATGTATGTATGTATGTATGTATGTATGTATGTATGTATGTATGTATGCATGCATTGAAAAGTTCATACAGGCTCCCACAGGTGTATTTTGTCGGGGTGGGACTATGCCATGCATAATTCACATACATGAGAGCATTAAAACGTAATATTATGGTAAATAAAGACAAGATACAATATAACGTCATATAATTGTAATCGAAAGCCTACGAGACTGACAAGAAGTCACCCCCTCCCCCTTCGTTTTTTCGATAAAGGGGAGAGGGGGAGTAGGTGTGTGAAGGCATCAACATGGTGCGTCAAAATTCTAGCATGGTGAGATACACCGCCATTTCACATCAAAGATGCACGTGATGACGCTAACAATTAATGCAGTAACTGTTAGCGTCAACACGTGCATCTTTGATGTGGAATGGCGGTGCTTCTCACCTTGCAAGCATTTTGCCGCACCTAATTTCTGGTAGTTTGCCGTGCCAGAAGCAATACAACATGCATTAGAATAGCCAATATGAAGTTCGATCGAGTTGATAAACCTTGCTTCTTCCCCAAAGGCAACTGACAATTTCGAACTAAGTCGTATGACGATTGTGAAAGCGTTTGGAAAATATTGTATCAGAGCATAAATAAGTGTACTTGACAGAAGTGCCAAATACATGTCGGTATGTTGAAAAAGGAAACTGAATGTGTTCATTTAAAGAGCAGACTGTTTTCTTGAGAGTAGCTTATTTAAGTGCGTTCAGGTGCACGCATTCATGGGGCGCGCCCATTGTTGAAAACCAGGAAGTGGAGCCATAGTAGAGAACGTGCTTGGTCTTGTTCGGCCAGTGACACTTGAAGAAATGCTTTTTCGATGTCGGCGGAAATTCCAATCTTGGAGTTGCGAAACTTCAGCAGCCGGTCAAGAATGTTGGGGTTCAAATTCGGCCCAGTACACAAGACGTCGTTGAGGGAAGAAGAGCATGTAGTGTGAAACGAGGCGTAAAATACCACCCGTACCTTTGTTGTAATTCTGTCACGTCTTACTACCACTCTGTGTGGCATGTAGTAAGTGACATGCCCACTCATACTGTTCGTTGGAACCTTCTCAGCGAAGCCATTGTTGTAGTAGCTCTTTATCGTAGTGTCATATTCCTTATGAATCTCTGGCTCCCGACGTAGCTTTCCCTGTAGAGATTCAAACCTCTTCAAAGCGACATCTTGGTTGTCTTTAAGCTCGGAATAATTGTTGCGCCAAGGAAGTTCAACCTCGTAGCGTACATTGGTTTTAACAGTTGATTCCACGAAGTTCTTCAGAACGTATTCGTCATCTTTCGGATGTATCTCTTCATGGGCCAGTCCCAGGTGCTCCACTTCCCAGAATGCTCTCAGTTGCTCGGAGTCGTTGGCTTCCATTAGACATACGTTGAAGGTCCCTACAGTGTCTGGCTGTTCGAGCTTCGGCAAACTTCTGGTATCACCATGCAGTGTTCATCCCACGATGGTTTCAATGGCGGTTAAGGTGTCGTCCAATCGATGAATCTTGCCGCTGACGAGTTGCCAGTAATAGTTAGCTCCTATAAACACGCAGGCCAACATCCTGACTTGCGCTGATCGCTTTGTCCCAACTCGTATTAAGAAAACACGTAAACTAAATCCCTGGATAACACGCAGCATTATACATATAAAACGGCGAATTAGGAGATTAAGACAAAGTAAAAAAAAAGAGCGACGGAAGTTGCAGCTATAAAAATCAAGTTGGAAGAAGCCCCTGTGAATTTCAAAAAGAAAGTTCTTTGGCCAAACGCTTGTAAACTTCCTTAAAGTTCGCCATTCAAATTCTGGCGTTACTTCAGTGACAGAAAGGAAAGAATTGAGCAGATCGAACACGAGGGTTGTAGCCCAACAAAAGTTGAAGACTTAGCCGATATTTTTAATTGCTTCTTTCAGTCCGTTTTCACAATAGACCAGGGCGATAAGATAGGGGCATCAATCAGTAACAATGCAACAACCGCAATGGAACCTGTAAATATCAACCGCGAAGGTGTTTCTCAGTTACTGCTTCAGCTTGATGCGAAGAAAAGAAGTGGTCCGGATAACCTACCAACAGAGTTTCTCAAGAGAGACGCAGAATCGGTCTCGTTTTATTTAAAAATAATATTTGTGAAATCGGTTGAGACGCGATCACTTGCACAAGACTGGCGCAATGCAGTTGTAATTCCGATTTTCAAAAACGGTAACCGTTCGTTAGCAAACAATTATCGGCCCGTATCCTTGACGTCGGTTTGCTGTAAAGTTCTGGAACATCTAATAGCGAAACATATTCTTAGTTCTCTTGATGCTAACCAGTTACTTTGCGCAAGCCAACATTGGTTTCGGCATGGCCTTTCTACTGTGACACAATTAGCTGAAATGCTCCATGATTTCAATAAAAACAGTGATGCCCTTCTGCAGACTGCTGTAATTTGTGTCGATTTTAGGAAAGCCTTTGATAAGGTCTCTCATCGTAAATTACTTTTCAAGCTTAAAAGATTAGGGATAAGCGAAGAAGTATTAAAATGGATAGAGGCCTATTTATCCGCACGTCAACGGGCTGTAAACATTGAAAATGACACTTCAAGACCACTGGCCGTGTACTCGGGCGTTCCCCAAGGATCTGTTGTAGGACAACTTCTTTTTTTGATATTTGTTAATGATCCATGTTCAATAGTTGAGGCTACTAATAAAATGAAACTATTTTGCAGATGACTGCTTGATTTATTCCGCAGTTATTTGCGAAGGTGACCAAATTAATCTCAACAGGTGCTTACAGGAGTTAGATCAGTGGTGTATAATATGGGACATGGAAATAAACTATAGCAAGACGACATTTACGCATATTCACTCTAGTGGGCTGAATTGTCATTCATATATCACATCGGAGGTCACCCTTTAAATAATGCCGCTTGTTTCAAATACCTAAAAGTTAGTATTATGCACACATTGAAATGGCTCTCGCATATCGATAACATCTGTTCTAAGGGAAACAAAAAACTGTATTTCCTAAAAAAAACTAGAACATGCCACACCGGAAGTAAAACTAACTGCTTACAAAACATTCATACGTCCTGTCTTAGAGTACGCTAGTATTTTGTGGTCGCCTTACCAGAAGGTGTTGTGGACAAAAATTGAAAGAATACAAAAATTAGCAGTCCGTTTTATATGCGGTGGATACCGACGCACACACTCATTCACAGCTTTGTTAAAGTCTTGTGAGCTTCAGTCATTGGAATATCGCAGGCGCAAACATCGCCTCAAATTTTTTTTTTAAGATTATAAGTGGGCGAACGAAAATAAATAAAGACTTATATTTTCATCCCCCTTGAAGGCGATGTGATCGTCATAATAATAGTGGAGCAATTCAACCTTATTTCACACGCACGAATGATTTCCGTCACTCCTTTTTTTCCAGACACAATAGATATGTGGAATAGTTTACCCAATGCGGTTGTGAAACAAACAACGTCAGTAAAATGTGAAAATGCATTAGACAGTTTTTTTTTTTTTGCAGGGATGCGTGCTAAATTTTGTTGTGAGCATTGATTCGTTAATTTTTATGTGTGTAGTCACTGTTGCTTGTTTCTTATTTTTCTGTTCATGGTTATTCATCTCGTATTTATATGTGCTTTTGAATTTTTCTTTTTTGCGCGAACGTTATGTATTTCGCGACACCCTCCCTGTAATGACCCCAAGCACGGGGTTAGCAATATCAAATAAATAAATAAATAAATAAATAAATAAATAAATAAATAAATAAATAAATAAATAAATAAATAAATAAATAAATATTCCACGATCGGGTGAGACCTGCAATGCAGTGACATCAGCCTAGCGTAAGTTTTGTTCCTTCGTCCTTTCAAGCACATTTGTCTCTGTTAATGCTGACAGGTCACTCCATATTTGTGGAACTTCCATAGCCTCGATTTCAATCGAGTTCAAGGCGTACTGGCTATGCAGCGTACACTGTATACTTTCCGATAATATTTCCGAGGTGCGGAGATATTTCCGAATCCAGAGATAGACAGCTGCTCAACGGCCAACACGGTGGATTTCAGCTTTCTAGACAACTCTTTTTTGATGAAGCTGCATCGACTACCGCCATCAAATAACATTCTTACAAGGCGTTTCCTTCCAGTGCCTTGAGCCAAGACTTGCGCGGTCTGTAAAAGTAATACGCTCTTTAAAGCGTCCACAGAAGAGCTGGAAACAGTGGTCTGCGTTTCGTTCTATTTCTGTTTACATTGTGGGTCGCACATAGAAGTGATGTGCCCTTCTTTACATTTTGCGCAACTAAACCTCTTCCAGCTTCTCCATTCTTTCGCTCTGTGAAAAGGTCAGGCACATCGGAAGCAACACCCCAACTTGCGCAGTTTTTATTTTTTCTTGTCTAGCGTTAGCTCAGCTGGACAGTCATCTACCGTGTGACCTTTATCATCGCATAACATACAACTCTCCGGAGAGAGTTTGACGGTCAACATAGGCGCTGTACCTCGGTTATCTTCCTTAAATTTTGGTTTGCCGGTTGGGGCTCGTTCTCGGTGATCAACCGTCATCAGCAACGCCTGTTCTCGGCTTCTCACTTCCAGTCTCAATAAATCTAGAAAAATAGGCAATTCATCTAGTTGGCCTGTAGTGCCGTTAGCATTTTTTGAAGGCAATGTGCGCTGAGTATAACGAAGTACCATTTCTTGAGGGAGCTTCTGCATTAATGCCGTTTTGAGCAACACTCTATACTCTCTCTCTTCGACACCAAGATTACGAAGGGATACCACGCGAGTTTGAAGATCTTCATACAGCGTTTGCAGCCCTTCAAAATCTTCAGATGAGCGTACTTTAGGTAGGTTGAGAATTCGGCGCATGTGGTCGTTCACAATTTGGGATTTATGATCAAATCTTTCTTGTAGAAGATCTGTAGCTGAGCTATGACTTTCGTTTGTTGTAGCCAAGCCGCTAATGACACTTTTCGCTTTACCCGACAGGTAGCTCTGGAGATATTTCCGTTTGTCTACGTCAGCGAGTTGCCCATTTTGGTTAATAGTTGATTCAAATTGATCCCAAAACTCAGGTCATTTAATAGGGTCAGCAAGAAACTTCTATATATCAAGCTTAGGAAGCTTCAAGATTGCAATCTCTGCCGACATCGAAAAAGCATTTCTTCAAGTGTCATTCGCCGAACAACACCGAGACGCATTCCGTTATTTTTGGTTTGAGAAAGGGTTTTCTAACCTTGAAGAACTACGCATGACAAGGGTTCCTTTCGGTGCCTAAAGCAGCCCTTTCCTTCTCGCGGCAACTCTGTGACACCACTTCCCACTAATGGAAGGCAAATACCCTACGACTGCCAAAAAATACTGAAAGACCATTTCTACGTTCATGATTAGGTCATTGCAGCACAGATCATATAAGAAGCACAGACAATTGTTAGCGACTGCTTCAGTATTCTGAAAGAGGCGGGGAGGAATTTAACAAAGTGGACGACAAATGATGGACAGTTACGGAACTATTACAACCACCTGGACTTGAACATACAGTTCAATGTAGGAAACGAGAAAAAGATACTGGGGCTTGTTTGGGATACCAACAAAGATATTTTGAAGCCCTCGCTAAACAACAAGCTTCAATCATTAAGTAAGCCAAAGATTACGAACCGACAGGTTTTAAGCTTTGCCTCAGTTATGTACAAGCCTTTCGGATTCCTCGCGCCATTCGTTCTGGTGGGAAAGGTATTAACACAAAGGCTGTGGCTACAGAAATACACATGGGATGCACCCCTACCCGAGTCTATTCTAAAAGAGTGAACAGCATGGACGAAAGGCCTCCCAATAGTCAGTCAGTTGGGAGTTCAGAGACATTTGGCCAATTTATTCTGGAAAACTATTTTCGTGTTGCCATACATGCCTTTAGCTATGCAAGCCCAGCTGCGTACTGTGCCGTACTCTACTTTCAGATACGAGACTTCAATAGAGCCATGAAAGTTCTATTTCTGATAGCCAAATCGAGAGTAGCACAACTACAACAAAAGATGACTGATTCACGACGAGAGCTCGTGGGAGCACTTGTTGCAGCTCAATTATTGCAACAGTGAGACGTGCCCTAAACTTATCAGACTTTGAAACTGTTATGTGGACAGACTCTGTGATCGTGATTCATTGGCTACGAAGTTCAACAAAGTGCTGGGTTAAAAACTAAAAACAAAATGGAATGCGGGCGCGCCATCCGGGCACGCTCTAGTCCTCTTCTTCATCTTCGCCGCTTTTCCGAAATAAGATTTAACACCCATGAAGGCTCATGTACACGCAAAAACACGCAGAGGCTCCCTAGAGCAGCTGGGAGGGTTGCGACACATGGCTGAGCAGATCCAAAAAACGCTTTTCGCT